AAGAGGCCGTGGTGAATGTCACAGCGACGTGGAAGATGTGCCAGACACAGGCTGGAGGCAGAAAGGCCAGCCAGGAGAGCCGGTCCATCAGATGCGTTTACCTTGCATCCCCATTACCTTACAGACATGTTGCTTTCTAAACTAATATCTGAGAGAAAAAAGAAAACAAAGAAAAGAAAAAATGCCCTAACTTGGCCACTCACTAGGAAGCAACAGAAATGGATGCGTTTGCCAAAGCAACCAATGGCGGCAAAGTTATTTCCAGCTCCCTGAATGATGGCTGACTGTAGCAGTGACATGAAGAGCCGGCAACACTGAGTTCACACACACCCATTCCCCTGGAAACAAGTAGGACTAATGAAATCTCGTTCTTTAGACTTTTCAAGGTCATCCACGGTTTCTCAGTGTGGCTGGTCCTGCCAAACGTCCTACATACCAGGAGATGTCCAATCTCTTTCTCTTTTCCTGTGACAGAGAGGCTCTGGGAAGTTTCCAGGGCTGGGTAGGCATATCACCACCTCTTTCTGTTTCTCCTTTCCCCCAGGAGTGTGTTTTCCTTACCCAAGTTTGTGAATTCACACTCCACACCACCCGAAGCACCTCTCAGCAAACAGCTGGGATGCATGAGTGCAAAGCGGCCAGGGGGATGGGAGGGAGGCCACTGGAAGAATGGAAACAGGTGACTGAGCTGTGTGGTTAGCACAGACCATTGTTCAAGGAGGAGAGGAGAGCACCTCAGATCTTTGTGCGCACACAGCTCACCCTGATCAGATCCCCTCATCTCCCAGTTACCGTAACCTGATGGCTGCCGATGATTATCAGTCACCTGTAGACCCGATGACTCAGTGTGTATGAAACTCAGAAGGGGTAGGCTACAGTAATTGAAAAGCCAATAGCTCACGTTTCTCTAGTAACACACTCATAAAAAAGGTTAGTCAAACCACAAGAATATAACTGCTTCCAAGGCAGCTCAGAGCCTCGGGTCCAGATCTAGTCAGCTCGAACCACACCTTTGAGTGATTCATGATGCCAGATTCAGGCGGAATAGAGGTTTTCTTCTGATGAAAAACACAGATGGCATCAGTGTGGCCTAAATCAGAAGCCGAGCCTGCCTGGTTGGGCCACTCCTTCCTTAGAAACCTTCTTAAAGGTGCTCGACCTGTATTTTGGTAATTCTCAATGAACAACTGCCCACCCGCACTGATGTATGGGGGGCGGGGCATGGTTGTTGGTTTTGACTGTCAACTTGGAAGCCTAGAATCACAGACTGGGCATGCAGACTTAGAACTCCGTCCTCAGGGTCTAGGGTCAAGATCCACTATAGAATCCATTCATTTCTGGTCCTTACACTTCCCACAGCGCCTTGTATAAGATCCTAATGATAAAGCGACTTTTACTGAGGTCCTACGGTACCGGGTGTTGTGTTAGAGACTTAGCTCACTGCCACACTTTATCAGCCCTTCAAGGTTGATAGCTTTTAAGGTGGACTGTCATCTCTGACAGATGAGGAACTGAGAGCCCAAACAAGCGGCTTCTCTTTTCTAAGGCTGCCCATGGTGAATGGAGAACCAGGGCCAATCCAAGAGGCACGTCTTAGCACACGCTAGAGGCTTTCTTGCCCGTGGTGCCTCAGCCCCCCACAGGCAGAGACTTCAGATACCCTGCTGGGATAGTTACCCTAGCCATGGCAGAGGGCATTCAGTGGCCACTGTGGCATTTTATCCTTTCTTCTTGCAATCATCAGCATATGCATTTGAGAAGCATCTACAATGCAGAGTTGTGATGTCTGCACCGTGCGTGCTTCACAGAGCACCCGACACACACAAGCACTCATGAAGTGAAGGCCTAATGTTGTTACCGATGGCCCTGAGAAATACAGATATCACTGCAGTCCCACAGACAAGATGCAGTGTTTGTATCACTTCACTACGAGACAGCAGCCTCCTCACTGACTTCATGGGGGAACCAAGCTTGTCGTAGAAAAGAGAGTGGGAGAGGAAACTGTGAGACACTTCAGAGATGTGCGACATACAGCATGGGCACATATGCAGCTCTTCTTCCAGTGTCCTTGGAATCGGGGGCAGGGGAGGGGGGAGGGGGAGGCAGTCACAGTCACAGCCACAGCAGAGAGGCAGAGTACTGCACAGGTTTGAAGTGCAGAGTGGGAACGGGAACAGGGAGGACCAGGGACAGGGATGTGGGAGGGAGGGCACCCAGACCCAGAACCTGGGAAGGGCTGTACAGAAGTGGGAAAGAGCCCAAAGAAGTGTGGAGAAGGCACAGCTCACGGAGGCTGAGGTGAGGCTGAGTGCGCTGCACTGTTAGAGCAGGAGAGGCAAGTGCCTTGGATCTCACTCTACTGGGAACAACTTAAAGGGGTTTTATCGTCTAAAGAGGAAGGCAAAAATGATTTGACCTCCAGAAAAAACAATACAAACCCAGTATTACAGTCAATGCTGGGTAATGGAAATACATGGATTCAAGACAGGGTTTCTCTGTGTAGCTTTGGAGCCTGTCCTGGATCTCACTCTGTAGACCAGGCTGGCCTCGAACTCACAGAGATTCGCCTGTCTCTGCCTCCCGAGTGCTGGGATTAAAGGTGTGTGCCACCACCGCCCAGCACAAATACATGGATTTTGAGTCTTGAAGTTTCTCAGATTACTTAAGTATGTTTCTTTTCTTTCTTTTTTTTTTTTTCTTTTTTTTCTTTTTTGAGACAGGGTTTCTCTGTGTAACAGTCCTGGATGTCCTGGAACTCGCTTTGTAGACCAGGCTAGTCTTGAACTCACAGAGATTCATCTGCCTCTGCCTTCTAAGTGCTGGGATTAAAGGTGTGTACCACCACCATCATCCGACTTTAAGTGTGTTTCTTGCTGCCTCCTATTATATCCCACAAGTATTTTTACTCACTTTACTGTAAGCACAGAAGGAAGGAAGGAAGGAAGGAAGGAAGGAAGGAAGGAAGGAAGGAAGGAAGGAAGGAAAGAAGGAAGGAAGGAAGGAAGGAAGGAAGGAAGGAAGGAAGGAAGGAAGGAAGGACAGGAAGGCAGGCAGATAAGCAAGGAAAGTGGGGTGCCCAGTGTTTGTGGTGTTTCTGATCTCAACCTGAGGGAAACTGGAATGACTAACATTCCCTTCAGGAGATGGTCAAACGGCAGCAGGAACGGGAGAGAGTAAACACTCTGAGGCGACAGGGAGGAAGCCTGAGCTGGAGACCACATTGTGTTGCTGCAGAGGTCTTCGCCGTCTGCGACATGCTGCCCATGTGTGTGCTGCTTGGATGTCATCCAAGGAATTACAGGAATGACAGGCCGAGACAGCTCTTTGCTCAGGGAGACATACTCTGGACATACAACAACCGTCTTCAGGGCTTCCCTGCCACCAGCTCTCAGGGACCAGACTTCTGGCTACCCGAAGCTCCCTCAGCCCAGGCGCCATGAGCCGCTCTAGTGACTTCCTGGGGAAGAGGGCCACCCCAGACTGCAGCAGCAAGCAGACCAGGGTTTGGTCCTGCTCTGTCTAGCTGTGTCTTCCCAGTGCCTTGGTTTTCTCTCCTTCCTGAGTCAAAGGGCTTCTTGATAGGCTCCCAACATCCTTAAAAATGTGTCAACACCATAATGCGTATGGAACCAGGGGCACCGAGACTTTGGGAAGCCTTGGCAGGAAAGACGCCTGCTACTCTTTACCGGGTGTTAAAACTGCTTCCTGCTGCTCTGTTAACCAAAGTAGGTGACTTTTCCTTCCCTCACCTCACAGAGAAAGCTGATGGTGCTTGCAGAAGTGTCAAAACCTCACTCACATGTTTACCACCAGTGACACAAAAAGTCTTTTTTTTTCTTCATGTTCTTTTCAACAGGGGAACTTTCATTAAAAAAGTAACACATGCAATTTTTTTTTTTCAAAAGGAGATGTGGTGAGTCCCATTCCCAAGAAAAATGAAAAGCAGGAAAAAATAAAACTCAGGAACAAGTTACATTTTTCCTCCTATTTTGGGCCAACTGTCTGAGGCTAGCCGGACCCAGAGGATGGCCGAACCTGTTTATGGCAGGACAAGATTTAGGTTAGGATGCTAGAAGCAAGTCCGTCGTGTCGTTTGGAAAGAAACCACCTTGATGTGGATGAGCCACGCTGCCCCTGCCAGGGGAGGGGTCAGCTAACCCGAGGGTTCTGTTTGACCTTTGCCCTTACAGTTCAAGAGGCTAGGCCAGCAAGGGCTGGTGTGAGAGCTGTGTGTTCACTCTTAGCAAGGATTAGAGGGAGTGACTCATTCATCACAGCCCACTCAGTGCCATTTCCCTGGCGGCAGGAGCTTTTTAGAAAATGGTGCCTTGGAGAGGAGAGGGAGGAGAGAGAAGAGAGGAGAGGACACTAGCCTGGCCTTAGGATGCTGCATCCCATGTGATGCCATGCCACAGGGGTGCCCTGTTTTCCTTCCCCTGACGTCACTGCTGTCTAACACAAGGGCTGGCTCAGCTAAATGATCCAAGGAGTTTCCCTTTTAAATGACTTTTCTTTCTGTTTTTGGTGTGTGTGTGTGTGTGTGTGTGTGTGTGTGTGTACCTATATGCAAGTAAGGCCTGATGTCCACCTTGGGTGTCTTCCTTAGTCATTTTCCCTCTTATTGTTTGAGACAGAGTCTCTCTGTGAACCAAGAGCTTCCCGTTTGGCTCCACAGGCTGGTCAACTAGCCCTGCTTGTCTCCTGATGGTATTACAAAAGCTTTTATGTGGGTTCTGGGAAGCGGGGTGAACGATGAATGGGTCCTCACGCTTGTCCAGCCCCGCCTCCCTCTCCGAGACAGGGTCTCACTATTAAGCTCTACTTGGCCCAGAATTCTTTGTGCAGAACAGGTTGGCCTGGAACACACAGAGATCTGTCTGATTCCAGGGGGTCTTACAAAATTTCCTAAGAAAGGTTTAGGATAGGAGTTGATGCTAGAAGATTAGGAGCGTGCCCCAGAACAAGAGTGCTGGGTGTCTGATAAGAAAGTTCTCTATTTTCTTCCCTGCACCGTTCCTGGAGGTACAGCAATACCAGATTAATGGGTGGAATGCGCAGAGCAAGCTCCTATTCCAACTCCTAGTTCCAAAAATCCATTTAATATATTGTCCTTGGATAGAGGATGTATCAGACATTAAACTGATAAGAACAGATACTACACTTGATCTTAGCCAAAAGGCCGAGAAGCATCATTTCTTTGCTTTCTGAGGCAGGATCTCATGTAGGCTGTCCTTGACATTGAGAGGATGTCCTTGACCTCCAAAGGTTGCAGGCATAAGTGATGCCCCACACCAGGTTACTATTTGAATGATGAAGGAATGGACACAAGATCAATGAACAGGCTGTACAGGCTATCCTAAGTAAACGTATGGATGTGAGAAAATGTAACAATTTTCTTTAGAGTCTGAGCTTTAATAATTTTTTTTCCTCAAGAAAAGCAAAATGTAAAAAAGAACTTAACCCAACCAGCACAAACCTTTAAGGACTGGGAATGCTACTCACTACTAGAACATTTACTTCACATCATTGAGGCCCCTGGGAGCCGTCCTCCAAACAAACAAACAAACAAACAACCCATCTCAAAACTTGACACTGGTGTACGGCACAAATACTCTATCTTTAGAGCCTTGAGAAGAGGTTTACACAGTCAGGTTGTGCTAAACACATGCTGGGTCTGCCTGACATTTCTAATTCATCTCCCGTAGATGGGAGGGGCCTTCTGGTCAGTTCATCATCTATTCAGCTTTCTCATTCATGAATGAGTAAACAGAGGCCCAGAAAGCATTCTGTGATTCATCTAAACAGCTGAGAAACACAAGCAAGTGTTCTCCTGATTGTGCTATGTTACCGTATACCAAAAAGAAAAAGAAAAAGGGAAAAAGAAAGCCCTCACTTATCCTGGGCCCTGAAGCTACTGTTCAGCTAAAATCCAGAGCAGCTCTGCCCGGCTGATACCCCCTGGTGAGCCCACTGGGCTCTACAGTTAGTTCCAAGCTTAGGGTCATACAGACAGTCCCAGATGAACTCTACGGGACTTTAAACTAACCAAACTAATGAATATGGGAAAGGGGTCTGTAAGGGGGAGGGGGGAGGGGGGAGGATAAGAGAGAGAGGGGGAGAGTAGCCAGGTACATACATGAATAAGAAACTGTTAAAGGACAAGCTTTACTAACGAACAGAAAGAGCTGACTCTGCTAAGTAAGTCACCATCCTAGTGCCTAGAAGATGTGATGGCCAGAGAAGGGAGAATCTAGACCTCCCAAAGTCCACATCTGCAGAGGGTCTGGAGGTGCTCTGAAAATCTATAGTCCAAAAGCTCCGCGTGGTTCTCCGAGGCAACAGCAGAGCCAAGTGGATCTGGACATAGGAAACATGAAAACAGACAAACAAGAACCTCCCACAGTAAGGAGGGCTTTGCCTCAGCCATGGGTTCAAGCCAACCGTGAGGACTAGGTACCCTCTCTCAAATTTTAGTTCTCTTCAATCCCAAGTGCACTGACTAAAACTGGACTGACTGAAACTAAGACTCATTGCTTGGATTTCCTCGCCCCTCTCATCCCATGCTCCTCCCACCCCAACTTCAGCAATTTCTAGAGTCAAAACAGCCCCCCAGTTAAGATTCACGTGGAGAGACTGATGATCCATGCTTTCTTTTGTATTCACCGGAGTCTATGCACACAAGTAAGGTCCAAAGACACACAGGGAATGCTTCGGCATCCTGATTGATTTGCTGGGCTTAATCTGTCTGTAGAAGTCACCACAGGCCCCCTTGACATGTCTCCACAAGGAGAGGTAAAATGATTAGGAGGGGGAAATTTTCCTAACCAGAAACACAGCAACCTCAATCTGACATGATACATTGGTGGGTTCATTGACTGACTGACAAATTTTTCTTTTTCAAGATAGGGTGTCTCATATAGCCCAGACTGGCCCCAAACTCACTATGTGCTGAGCATAGCCTCAAACTCCCGATCCTCTGGCCTCTACCTCCCAAGTTCTGGGGATGTAGGAATAATGCACCATACCCTTGGATTACAACTCATTCATCTATTACCACACCCTTGTCTCTTGGAGACAGAGTCTCTCTCTATAGCCCCAGCTAGCCTGGAACTCACTATGTAGACCAGGGTGGTCTCAAACTCCCAGAGATCCACCTGTCTCTGCCTTGTGAGTTCTAGGATTAAAGATATGTGCTACAATTCATTCTTGAAGTGACTAAAAGCATTCCAAACATATCCAGCTAATAACAGTAAAATAAATAAGCAGAAATACCAATTTCAGTAATTTCAAGATCTATGAGTTCTTTCAATATATAATTCAATTGAATGTCACTTATAAACTGTTACCTATATCAGAATAATCTTAGAGTTAAAAGCAGACAGGCACTTGGTATGTATCAAAGCTACTGAAAAGAATGAACATAAGAAGACTAAAGTCAGAATTTGGAAGCAGCAAGCAGCTTTACAAAAAGATATTGACAAATTTTAGAATATTATTGGTGCTGAGGAAGGTTTTTATTCACGTGATAAAACTATTTTTGTTCAGAACCACCAACTTTAAATTTATAATAAAACTGACACATTAAACTAAGCTGCTTACAACTACAAGTCTATTTTAAATACTATGGTCTCAAGTGTGTAAACATCTGGGCAAATCATGAAATGGTCCCACCATTTGTAAGTCCCCAACACTTTAATGAACACAATGTCTCTTAGTCATCTCATTCTGCAGTGGCTTCTGACAATGTGACAACCAAAGACGTAAAAACTAACTTCAGTAAGACAAGCAGATCAAGTCAAACTGAGTTATTTAAATCCACGTTTTTCTCCAACTACTTTCTGTAAAAACGAGCTCTCAATCAAATTCAAGAAAATATGGCAATATGTTTTAGAACATAAAAAAAAAGTTAGAGCATGCTAACAGAACCAACTTGTAACATATCATTGCAAAATTTTACCAAGATGCTATCTTGAACATTTTACTGGTGTAAGTTGCATAAATCTATGCAACAGATGTCATTCAGAGCAAAGAGGAAGGAACAGCATCTTTAACACCAACTCCATTTAAGAAACAATACCAAACGCTCCCCTGCTAATATTTTTAATTCTATATCCCAGAGCCATCAAAATGAACCGAGCACAGAGAATAAGAACACAATGGAAACCTTGTTTTAGCAGACTGCACTAGGAAAGGCGTGTGCGGTAACCATCTACATGTTATCTCAGTCAAGCTATCTGCGAGCAGCAGCAAGAAAGGGCCGTGCATCCTTACCAATGAATTTCTGAGGCATTGAGCTTTTTCGTTTTGCCACATTGCTTGCTAGTCTGTCCAGAACGAGCGCTCTTTCACTTCCCATCTCCGCTTTGATGTTTCTTGCCTCCACGCTCGCTGCTTTGGAAGAAGAGGGAGAAGAACACATTGGTAAATGGGGCGACTGGGAAAGGGAAATCATCTGGGAGAAGCATCCGGGGGCTGACGCACAGGGCTGTTTCTACCTGTTGTTCCTGCTGGGTTTCCTGCCCTGGGTACCTGCTGTGGTCAGTGAGACCGATTCTGGGGCACATTCAGATCTTGCAATCTTGTGCTGAGATGGGAAAGCCCGACCCATCCCCAGCTAGTGCCTTCATTAGCAAGAGGAAGTGTTGAAGAAACAGCTTGGACGTGGTTGGTTGCAGAAAGATAGATAGATGGAGGCCTTTGGCCCCCAGCAGCCGTCTTTCTGATTCTGAGTAACTGCATGTGACACCTGCACCCTGATATAATTCTTCTTAACAACTTTGAAAAAAAAAAAGGCACAGTGCCCCAGATTTACTGCTCTGTTTATGTTAATGGCACTTTTGAAAATAGATACACTCACCCAGATAGCAAGAAATCTACTCAGTGATTTGGGTATTGAAATACTGAGTCATTTTTTTCTTCACTACGTTTCTCTCAGTTCTTAGCTTTCAAATTCCATTTCTCTGGGTTCTGTGTGTGGCTTCATATGTCCTCCACATCTCAAAATCGTTTCCATTAAAGTGTCCCTGAGCCACACTGTTGTTTTGAAGTTAAAGAGCAATTTGTACACTGCATTTCTATCATGTTTCTAATGAAAAAATGAGAATAGGAACTGCCTGAGAATGGGGATTGGTTATCAACCCACAGAAAGACATCTGAGTGTCACGGGCTGGAGTTCTCAGACCTGGCTGCAAAGTAGTATTGCCTAATTGCCTAGTACACACAGAAGAAATATCTATAGGCAGGTTCCCTTCACTCTGCAGAGGGGCCAGGACAGCAGGGCTTTCAAAGCTCACTGGATGATGTTAGAAGGCAACTACAACAGGACAAGGCAGCTCGTGTCTGTAATTCCAGTACTGGGGAGACTGAGGCAAGAAGACTGCCATGAGTTTGAGACTAGCCTGGGCTACACAGTGAGTTGCAGGCCATCCTAGGCTACCATGCGAATCTCTGGGAAGGGGGAGCAGACATAATTTCAGTGCACTAGATGAATATAAAAATACTGCCAATACACTTAAATGGTAAAGTAGAACACATATAATTTACTTTGGTATAGCCAGCAGCACCCAATGAGACATCATGCCTAAAGAGTGGAAACCCACTAGTTGCTATAAACACAAGGCCTAAAACTTCATAATGCTGGAGTCAAGGAACAGTAAATTATTTCGGTAAAAGACCAAAGAGTAAATACTGTGTATGATTATTTGTAAGCATTATTCTTTTTGGCAGGGTCTTTCTGTTCCATAGCCCCAAGGTTAGTCTCAAATGCATGGATCTCTTGCTTCAGCCTCTCAAGTACTGGGAGTACACATTCGCATTACTACACTCAAGTTGGTAGTAACTATTTTTAAATTTGTGGGATCACAGTCCCTTTCTATATTAGTGTTTTTCTGCTCTATATCTCTTTTAAAATGTAAAAATTGGACCAGAGAGATGTCTCAGCCAGTGACATGCTTGCTATATAAGCATGAGAACCCTAATTTGGATCCCTAGGACCCACCTAAAAAGCCCAAGCCTGTAATCCCACCCCTGGGGAAGCAGGGACAGCAGAATCCAAGAGGCTGGCTGGCCAGGCAATCAAGCTGAATCAACAAGCCCCAGGTTCAATATGAGACTCTGTTTCAAGAAATGAGGTGGACAGTGATTGAGGAAGACATTCAAAGTCGACTTCTGGCCTCCAGGCACACTTGTACA